TAAACCCCATAAGAACTGGATTATATTTAAGCATAGAGGCTGAACTAGCTCTCAGCGCTTTATATAACATATAGCAATATTTAAGGCATTTAGCTACTGAGTCGCTGTGAACTAGTATGCGTTACTTTAAGCAACCCTAAACCGAACTAGTTCTTTTCGCACAAAACGGCCTTCATACCAAACGGAAATGCAATAAATCTTAATCTTTCGCTGCTCTTGCCCACTCTCTATATCTCTCTCCCTCTCTCTCTCTCTCGTTGCAGTTGGAAAATCGTACATGCCACACAGCTCCTCGCTGACCACCTCCGCTTGGGTAGCCATCGTCGTAGCTGGACTTTCGTTTGTGTTGCTGCTGGCGCTGCTGTACGCTTTCTGCCGCTGCCGGCGCACGCATGCGGCCAAGAAGCAGGCGGCGGCCACTGCTGCCACAGCCACGCCCAGCAATGGCGCCAAGGACTACGATGTGGATGCCACATGCGGCTCGCTGGTGGCCGCAACTGGAGACACGCAACAGCAGGCGCCGCCGCCACCGCCGCCCTACTATCCCACCGGTAGCCTGGACAGCAAGCAGCTGGATGGTGGCATGGAGCTAACATTAACAGCTCTCCACGATCCCGACGAGCAGCTAAACATGCAGCAAGGAGAGATGCACACACAGCAGCAGTTGCAGCAGCAGCAGCAGCAGCAATATCAAACGCAATCCAAATGCCAGCAACAAGGACTCTACCAGCAGCAACAGCAGCAGCAGCAGCAGCAGCAGCATACGAATGGCTATGGATATCATGTGGCAAGTGGCATTGGCATCGATGGCGACAGCTATCAAGTGCTGCCCTCCTCCGTCGCTGGACATCATGGCGAGTGTAAGTAGGCAGCTGGGCGTGGCCGAGTGGGCTCTACACGATGGCTTCTTCATTAAGCGTTGCAATTTCCTCCAATTTTTTTCCATTTTTTTTTGAGGGTTTGCGCAGATTTATGGCGGCCATTTTGACGCCTCTTGTTGCTGCCGAGAGGCGGGTTGTGGGGTGGGCGTGGGCGCTGGGCCGAAGCGAAGCGTAATTGCATTTCATGTCAATCTAGTAGATGCCTCTACCGCTGCTCCTGCGCCATCTCATCATGCAAATGTCCTTGCATAAGCAGCAGGCAATGCAAATTCCTTGGCAACCAAATGACATCCATCTGGCGACTATCCGATTCGCTGTGTCCACCGTCTCCCGTTGCCTGTATATCCTGTATCCCGTCGCCCGTCGCCCGTCGCCCGTATCCCGTATCCGTGCTGTTCGCTGCATTTCGGCGTAATTCCAATTAAGTGGGAATTAAGCCGTTAGCCGTTTCTTTTGTGCTTTTAATTGGCTTTAAGCCGACTCCTTCACAACTGCAACTCATAAAACTGTCCTGCGACAAAGTCGCAGACACTCAAGTGCCTGTCACTCGAGCCATCTCCAGCTCAGCGACAATTAAAAAACCGAAATAAAACTAGCTACAAACAACTCTTGGCCAGTCAGGCAGCCCAATGAGCTTAAAGCCAAGTCTTAAACTGCCAAATGACAGCTACTAACTGGACTATACTTACTATATATATATGGAGTCTATATATAATATATATAAAAATTAATGGAAATGAAAAGCAGGAAACAAAGCTGAAAATAATCTGACAAAGAGCTGCGCATAAGACGGCATCGAGCGCCAGACTTCGAGTTATTTAACAAGAGTTTCTCAAAAAGCAACTAAAAGATTAAAGATTTAAGCTTTGATAAAAAGAAAAGTACTTAAGCCGAGTTTCATTTGAGCCAAGTTTGTGAAACGAAACTGCTTCGAGTCTCAAGAGCTAAGCATAAGTTAGCTGTGAAAGCTCTAGCAACAGCAATTTTATATTTACTTAGCTGATCGCAATATATAGTTTTATTATAGTTGCTAGTTGCTTAGTTAAATTGTAACTTAATCAACCTGTGCTCTAGAAACCTTAGCCAGAGCTGCCTCTGCCTACCGCCACACCTTTCTTGGCTCAGCTCATTCATGGGGCAAGCCAAATTTAGCTCTTATACAAATCTTAGTTTTCTTCTAATTCTCAACAAGTGTGGCAGAATGTGCAATTCTGTTGCGCCGCACGAAGGTCACAGGATGCCAAATGCAATGTGCTTAAAGGATTTAAATAGTTTTTAATTATATTCCAAGTGCATAATGTGGCTCTCTAACTAGAGTAAATGCTTTTTGTGTATGTTTTTAATTTTATTTCATTTTTTAGCCATATTATGTTCCATTTGTATAGTCGAGCAGCAGGCGCTCGCCCTCCCCCGAGACAGACATAGCAGGTGCGCAGCAGAGCCTGAAAAATGTTTTGATAACTTTTTTTTTTAACGAAAAGTTTTTTGTGTGTGTGCGACTGAGTGAAAGGCAACATGTTAGCAGCTATAGAGCGCTGCCTCGCCTCAGTTGCCAACAAATTTGACCAAAAAATGTGCACTTTAATTGTGTGCGTGAGACAGTCGCTCTCTGTGTGTGTGTGTGGCCTTTGGCTGCTTTCATTAGGAAGCCAACATTTAGTCTTCCGCTGCTTCTTCTTAGTTCTTTTTGGGCAGCTTTTGAATTCGCGTTGCCAACGCCAACTTAATTACTATTTCTTTACCCACATCCTGCTGCATCGCCAACCAACCGGAAACAAAACGTCGTGTGATACACACCCACACACACACGCACACACCTACACCTACACCTCCACTCTCTGCCTCACTCTGTGTGTGTGGTCCATGCGGTTGCAACCAAAGCAGGACCACTTGAGGCGACAACCGTTCCAGCAGCAGCACGCGCCGCCAAACTAACGAAACAGCCCACCATCAGCAGCATCATACCCACCAGCAGCAGCACCGCCAACAACAACGCCACCAACAACACCACCACCACCAACAACAACTCCACCTTGAAGCGTGGCCAGGTGAGGGGGCGGCAGCTGGTGCAGCAGGTGACCGCAGCTACGGCAGCTACCACCACGGCGCTGGCAACGACAATTACAACAACATCACGTAATGCCAAAACCGCAACAACAACAACAACGCTCGCCATCTCAGGTAAAGGCACAGGAAAATGTTGTGGCAATTTATAGAGAAGCAGCAGCACCACACTTGAACTTTGCACCACAAAATGCACACACGACGTCAATAACTAACTGTATAAGAACTTGCACCAAGCAAAGCTTGCCACTTGCCTCTTGCCTCACGCCACTTGCCACTTGCAACGCACGCTCCAATCTTAATGCACCTATGCACCTATTGTTCCACATCTGCATCTGCATCTGCATCTACATCTTCTTCAGCTTCCTCCACTTTCACTTGCCACACGCACGCCTTTCATTTATCAACACTTTTATGCACCAAATGCGTTTCATGCCACTGCGAGGGCGAGCCTAAAATATGTTGCGCATAATTTCTGTGTAAATTCAGTCGGGAAATAGATTTAGGAATTTTAATTTAGCTTTGAAGAAAGTGAAAGCTAGACTGAAATGCAGCGAATATATATGTGTGTCAGCTGATCGATTGAGACAAATTGTCAGAGATATAAAGCTCAACTTAAATAAGCTTTAATTTAAGCTTTGCGCAAGCTTAAATCCAGCCCGGTACGTTTTGATTTCTGTTGAATTCAATTTGCTTTTATTGAGCATTTCACACTTACTTGGCAAAAAAAAAAATTTGGAGCTAGAGCATAATAAAATGACTTCAAAAACAATTTCAAGTTTCTGCCCAAAAAGAAAGCTAAAATTTAATTCTAAAATGATATTTTAAAAGCTTAGCTTGGAATATGTAAGGTGACCAAGCAAGAGTGATACTATTTGAATTAACTGTATTTCAGCAGCTGTTGAAAATATGGATAACTTGCAACTGTTAAAATATTTACTAAAAATTGCCATTTGATAAACAGGCTTCAAACTAAAACATAAAACTAAATGCAGCCTAATTTAGGCACACTTGAATAGCTTCAATATTTCCTTCTTTCGTTTAAGTGCATTTGCAAATGCATTTCACATAGCTGCAGCAATAAGCAGTAAAGCAGAAGACACAGAAAAATCGACTCAGAGCGCGCCTCGAGTCTTAAAAAAAAAGCCTTACGCTTAAAGCAGCTGCTACAAAGGCTGGTTAACTGTTTGAATGGACTACGAGTACACATATAATGGCTTGAGCACACTTTCAAAAGAAAACTAAAAAAACTTTATATATCAAACAATTTTTTTTAAATGTAATTTCTTTTTGTACAGCTCTGATTTGGTCAGCGCACACTTTTTGGTTTTTATTTTTAAATAAAAAGTATTTTAAGGATTAAGCAAGTTTAACGCACTTAAATTTAGAAAAAGGTTAAAAAACAACATTATTCTGCATTACATCTCAACAAAGTAATATTTTAAATGTTGTATTTTTTAGTTTTGATCAGCTCAACTTAAATTCTTAGTGCACTAAAACATGAAAAATTTTTATTTATCAGATAAAGAGACTTGATCCATTGAGAACCCTTCAAAAATTTAACTTGGCAGCTTAAATATATATCAGTGATGTGTCAATATGATAGCTTTGCATTCCAATTATATAATTTTACTATAATTCCCACTGTGCCGTCGGCCACCATGCGCTTTTCAGACTCCATTTCCAGTCATGTTCTATTTATAAACTGAAATGAAACGACACTCTCCAACGCCTAAGTAGTCATCTCGCTCTGACTCACCAACACGCAGCACAATATGCAACAACAGCTATACTGGTCTGTCTCTCTCTCTCCCTCGCAATGAGAAATGCCGCTCAAACTCACTCGGATAATATTTTTACAACTCTACACAAGCTCGCATCAATACGAACCAATCACAATCGACTTGATCAGATCAGAACGAAATACAATAGATATGCGAAATACATACATATGAATATATGCATATACTCTATCGATGTGACCAGCGACTTGTGAGCTTTTCGTTAAGTGTCTGTTTGCCTGACAAATTCACTCGAAAATTAAAATCATAGCCGAAAAGAAATGAAAAAAAAAAAATAAAAAATAAGTAAACATAAACTACTGAACATTATTCGGTCATAGGAAATTTAGTTCGGATTCAAAATCTACACCTTTCTAGCCACTATTTATACACGCCGGTTTTGTAATGTTTTTGCTTAAGTCTCCGGTCAATCGACTTGGGCTGTTAAGGCAACGGATCAGTACGTTACAATACCGCAACCATTTCTTCAAATGGTCGCCGAAAGCTCTCAAGAGCAGTCAGAAAATGAAGGCGACCAATCCAACGGCACGCGATAAATCAGTGGAAACAAATCCGACTAAGCAGCCCCCGATACTGGACGAGATCCCCAATGAGCCGAAGATTTCCAAAATGAAGGCGGTGCAACCGCCAAGCTTCAATATCAAAGATCAGCGTGACAAATGGCTAGCCAAGGTGCAGGGTGGCAAGCGCAAGTCAAACGGGCTAGCTGAAGCAAATCGCGCCACGATAAATCAGCCAAGACAGGCGTCGCCTTCAGCTATGCCAGCTCACCTGAATATGGAAAGCAATAGCCAGTCCTTTGGCATGCCCAAATCGTTCCAGCCGCCAGCCTGGCAGCAGCAGCAGCAGCAGCAGCAACAGAAGAATCAGATGCCCGAAAAGGATTCAAGCAAAGGGTCAGCGGAGCGCAGCTCCTGGGTGAATCGCATGCACGGAGCCCAGCAGTCGAAGCAAGCGAAGTGGGTGCAGGATATGAAAGCCAAGCAGCAAGCTTTATGCGATATACAGCCGCAAAATATGCCACAGATAAAGATCCCGATGCCGCAGAAGCCACTTGCAACGATGCCCGCAACAGCTAAGGCAGTGGCTGCGGCCGCAGCTGCCGAGCCAGCGGTGGAGGAGCCACCCGAGCCAAAGACACCAGAGCGTCTTGCCTACCTGGAGACCGTCAAGCTGCTGAACAACTATCAAATACACGAGCCCACAGCCGGACGTGCGCAAACGAAGGCGAGCAGCCACAGCGACAAGACAGAGCCAAATATCGAGCATACGCTGCTCTGCCTCAGCCAGACGGGCTTTCAGCGCGAGCAGCTGGAGAGAATGCCTGTCATACAGGTAGCCGGCACCAAGGGTCGCGGCTCCACCTGTCTGCTAGTGGAGGCCATACTACGTGCGCACGGCGTTAAGACGGGCGTGTTCTGCGCCCCGCATCTCTTTCTGACCAATGAACGTATACGCATCGATGGCGAGCCGCTGCCAGAGGAACAATTCACGCAGCTCTTCGGCGAGCTGCACGAGAAACTGGTGGACATGCAACCGCCGCCCAGCTATACCAAGCTACTAACTGTAATGGCGTTTCATGCCTTTCATAATGCCAAAGTCGATGTGGCCATCGTGGAGGTCGGCAGCGGCTGCGCCAGCGATTGCACCAACATCACGTCGCATGCCCGTACCATTGGCATTAGCTCGTTGGGCTGGGAGCAGAGCTTCAGCTTGAGCAATTCGATGCGCGACATTGCCTGGGCCAAGGCGGCAATCATGAAGCCGGAGGCAAGCGTCTACACAAGCGCCAATCAGCCGGAATGCTGCGAGGTGCTCAGCCAACGTGCCAAGCAGGTGGGCGTGCAGCTGAACCGCGTGCCCAACTATGTCGATTACATCGAAGCGAATATGGAGTGCAAGAAACTGCTGTCAGGTGCCAACTACTCCGTCAAGCTAAATGGCTCGCTAGCTATTCAGCTGGCCTACGACTATCTGCGTCGCTACAATCCCGAATACGTCGTAGGCGTGGATCACAATAGCGTCCAGTTGACGCCGGGCGCCACGCGGGGTCTAGAGATGTTCGAGCAGCGCGGGCAGTTCGAGCTGATGAAGTATGATATCTTCAATGTCTATCTGGACAGTGCGGACACCTTGGAGAGCATGATGATGTGCCGCGAGTGGTTCTATACGCGGACTCGCAGCAGTCGCTCGCCCAAGATTCTGCTCTTCAGCAAGGTCAACGAGTTCAATGCCAAAGATCTTCTCACAATTCTCAGACATAATATGCGCTTCGAGGAGGCCGGCTTTGTGCCGAGCCCAAATTGCTTTGAGGGCGAGTTGATGGAGGAGCAGGAAAGTCTCGATAAGGAAAGCCAAGATGCCATTAACTGGCACAGCATGGAGGAGCTGCAGCGCGCGCGCCGCAATGCTAGCAACTGGCGTTCCCTCTGCGAGGAGAACGGCACCAGAGACAACTCGCACATGTCCATCTCGATACAGGCGTTCTTTGATCATCTGAAGGAGAAGTACGGCAAGCAGCGATACGGTATGCGTAACGAACTGGATGTACTCGTCACTGGCTCCAGGGAACTGGTGGCCGGTACCATACAATTGATTCAGAAACTGAAGGATAAAGATTTCGGCAAATGGCGCTAGAAGCACAAGAGATCTGCGCAGATTTCAATTACGCTCCTCAACTCATTCGGTTTTATTTTGTTGTGTTACAGTTACACTATATATATATATATATGTATGTATACATATCTACATGCATGTCTTCTGTATGTCCCATATCAATACAAATTCCTAGTTACTATTTTCCCTCTAAACAAAATCGAATTAAAAAAGTATCACTCGCTCGTAGTTTGATATGGTCAACATCAGATTCATGTAAAACCTTTTTGTACATTGATCATAACTAAAAATCCGGTGTGACATTTATCCTCTAGATAAATATCTGTTGATCACGAGTCAAAAATAAATACTTTGATAATCGAAATAAATATTTTTTCTGACATGTTTGTTTTTTATATAGAAAGTGTCGCATCAAAAATTTATTATTATTTCATATAAGATTTATCCTCAAGTTAAATATGTGTAAGCTGAATTTTTATATTCTTCTGTGCCATACAATTCAAATGCTTCAATAATAATATGCCAATTATTTATGAAACATTTCCAATATTAATTTTATCTTCAGGATAAATTTGACAAGGTATTTTTAAAGTTTCTGTCTAACTAATATTCTTTTTCCAGTAACTTGCCTAGCTGCGAGCTATGTATTTATCCTCCCTATAAATATTTGTTAGCTACATATTGTCTGTCCTTTGAAGCTAATATTAATACTAAGTCTAAACTGGAAAATCGCTGTTAAACTATTTGCCTATATGATTTTTTACATTTACTCTCAGGTTAAATATTAGTCAGCCACTTAGACATGAACTCTCTATAAACATGCAGAACTCGAAAGTTTTTCTTCTGCAAAAATGTAGTTTAACCATTTTTATTACTTTAGTAATTTATTTTTTTTTTTTAATTTATTATTTTATTTAATTTATACCCACGATAAATATTTGTTAATATAAAACGTGTCTCAATGCTTGCCTTGCCACAGATATAAACAATATTCAAGCGCACCTTTTTAAGTGTTTAATATTTTAAAGTTCTGGGATCTTGTAAGTGTGTGTGTGTGTGTGTGTGTCGAGTTGGTCGAGTAATTTAATCCAATTGGGTTGTCCATCAACTTCAGTCTAAATTATGCAAAAACGTCGGGGTATATCAAATGCAGATGGGCAAACGAAAAAGCGTAACCCAAGTCGGAGGCGTTGGTCCACTTGGACAGCTGCCTGGCTGCCTTGCTGCCTGCCTGGCTGATGAGCATGACGTGGCATCTTTTATATTTCCAATTAGCCATTGTGACTTTCACATTTCCAACTGCTCGACTCTACCTGACGCACACTTGAAATATATATCTATATATATTTCTATAGCAGCTGCAATAATTTATGCTTGCCTTTGCTTTTTGCAGGGTCGAACAACATGCCCAGTGGCAGTCAGGAGAACAACTATAGCAATGCACGCGATTTGTCGCAGGAGGCGCTGTGGCGTCTCCAGCTGGCTGCCGCTCAAAGCCAGCAGATCTATGTGGAGCAGCGGCCGCCGTCGGCATTCAGCGGCCTGGTCGACTATGGCGGCTATCCGCACATCAATACGGTGACCAGCTCGTTGAGCCAGCAGAGCTTTGGACAGCCGCAGCAGCAGCAGCCGGTTGGAGTGCAGCCGCTAACGCCGCATGAGATGCTGCAGGCAGCGCAGCGCTATGGAACGCTGCGCAAATCGAAGCAACCGCCGCTGCCGCCGCAGCGCAAGGATCAACAGCAGCAGCAGCAACAACAGCAGCAGCAGCAGCAGCAGCAGCTGGGTGAGTGTTGACCGTTTGTCTTGTCAGATAAGCAGCTGAGATGAATGGCAAGGAAATTAGTTTGATTGATAATGCAACTAAGTGTTGCAAGTGGCCGGGCGGGGGCTAGCAACTCGAATTGTTGCACACTTATAAATAAAATAGATTTTGCATGTTCAGCTTGAGCTGGTAGCTTGGCAGCCACTAGGATGTGTACAATTTGCATCTGTATCCTTTATGCATGAGCAGCGACTGCAGCAGGACTCAGACACAGCTTGCGCGCAAACACCAGAGACACAAACAAACACCCACGCACATATATAAACAGATAAATGCACATAAAATAGTCAGCTCTGGCTGCTGCTGCTGCTGCCGCTGTAGTCTTCCTGCTACTCCTGGCCCCTCTCGCCACTCATCAAAAGGAACAAATCGCTTGCAGCGACAACTATTGCTGCCCCGCCTCAAACTAAACAAACGCAGTTGCTCCTCGTCCCTCGCAGCTCTGGCGCTCCATGGCGCTTCTTTAAACGCCAACATGAAATAGAAGCACAGAAACAACTGCAAAAAAGATGCGAGTGCGTTTGCATAAGTCGGGTATACGCAACTAGGAACTACCCTTGACTCTACCAAAATAACTTGGCTTAAATTTTATGCACATGAGACATATATTCACATGCGTTCAGGAGTTATGTTCTTACTCTTTGTGCATATATGATATCATATCGATAACTAATCGATAAATATTGTTAAGAATGTGCAAACAACTGGCAACTTATCAAATTTCACATATATTAACCTTTTAATACTTACAAAAACAGAAGAATGAAATGTTCTCTAAATCGATAATTATCGATTTTAAAAAACATCATAAAATTAAAATGTGCAATGTAATTTTACTTCAGTTATCTAGTCTTTAAATATTGTTGAAAAAAATTTATATAAAAAGTCGATATTTATCGGTTTTCATAGTTAGGTTTTATGATCGACTTTTGAGCTAAATTAATCTAAAAAAAATGCTATCGTGTCTGCAGCTCACTAAATATTTTTGCTGTGAAAGCTCTATAGATTGGCAGTTAAAATCCTAAAAATATCGATAATTATCGTTTTTTTGGAAAGCGAACACTATGTGAAAACGAATTGATACTATAAGAGAGAGAGAAGAAACTTATGAATTTGAAAAATCTATTCATCTGATGGTAATAAAACAATTTCTAAACATAAGTTATCGATACACAAATAGAACATGCTACAAAACATATCGATGCCTGATTTATATTATAAATTACACAAAATAATAAAGATATTTTCGCACTTCTTCCATACATTTGCACACCTTAGTAATATGCCCCGTTAGCCTCTCATAAGCCGTACAGGGTATTTAAAGAAAACACCGATAAAATACGTAAAAAGTGTAGATAAAAAGAAATGCCCAAACAAACTGGAAAAGCAACAGCAAACGAAAAATGTAAAATGTGCACGAGCACAAAATATTTTAGAAAATCAAAATCAAACAACGCTGCGAGCTATAAGTGAAGTGAATCACTGAACAGAATGCAGCGCCACATGCCCCATAAAAAAAGGAGAAAAGGAGAAAAGAACAACGGGGAGATGGGCACAGCCAAACAGACACACACATACAATGGGGAAAGGCAGTGTTAGAAATGGGCGAAAATCAATCGCTGGCTTGGGGCTATTTCCATATTTACGACTCGATTTACGCTTATGATTCGTTTAGTTAGCAGAGTCATCATTCACACTTTTACTATCGAACAGCAGGTGATGTCTAACGAAGAGCTTTTACCGAAAAAAGACAAGATTAGTTAAAAGTGCTTTAGCTAGAGTAGATTTTTGAACAAGTTGACTTAGGTTAGTTTCGGGTAGGTTAAGTTGAGTTAGGTGAGATATGTAAGAGCTTTCATATAACTAAGCCATTAATCTCTTTGAAAAGCTGAGCAATGTGAGCAAAAACTTCAGAAAAGCTTCGAAAGCTTTGAGTTATTATATACATTATTATTTAAATTATATTACATTATGTTATATATATTAAAGGCCTAATGATATATGCACTATGCAAGCAGAAGTAACTCTAAGTATATATAAATATAATAACATAAATAATACAAATATAATAATATAAATTTAATATAAATTTGCCTAACTGCTAATCTTCTCAAGCTTCACTTCAGATTGAAGACTTTTGGAAGCTGTCAAAAGCTGCTTGTCAGAAGTAATTCTACTGATTTGAGCTTGCTTTCCATTTGCTCCTTAAGCTTCAATTTTAAAAGCTTTCAACAGCTTTAAAAGCTGCTGGCTTACTGCTGAAGTTTTAAAACTTAGCTTCTTGAATGAAATCATTTTATTAAATCTTATTTTCATTCAAAAGAAATGCCCAACTCGCTATAGCCCACAGAGCTGTATATAGATTTAATAAAAAATATTTTAAAAATGTTTATTTCAGAAATAAATATTTTGTTATAATAGACAAGCTTTTACATTCAACCAATTTAATCTCTAAAATCTCTATTTCAATTGCCATCAACATATTTTTTGTTTGGCAATCAGCTAACCCAACTGACCACAATAGATTTCAATTTATTGTTGAAAAGCTCACGAGTCGAGCTTAAAACGTTCCGCAATAATTTTGAGTTTTTACCACTTCATGGCATAAAGAAAACCAAACTATGCATTGTATAAAACCCACTTTGATTGGGCTGCTTATGAATGCAGAGACATACAGATACATAGGAAAATACAGAGATACCCTGTAAAGTGAACTATTGCAGATAAACATTGATGAACTTAGAGACCAGATGAGCTAGAGTATAGGTATAGGGATGTATACGGCTGCATTGGGATACTCTGTAAAGAGCAAGAATTGAAAGTTAGACCCAAGAAACTTGGAGATTTGGAATTAGTATTGAGTTAAATTATTACAAGTACAAAAGAATTTTAATACACTTTTGATATATTTATTATATAATATTCAAGGAACTTGCGGACTAAAAGAGCTAGACTATTGGAACTTGGAAAGTAAGAGAGGTAGAGAATTAAAAATTGGTATGAGGGTCTTACTATGACAAATATTAAATAATGTTAACTTGCGGCTGATATATTGTATATAATATTCGAACAACCCCAACTTGAACTCGAAGACTAGCAGAGCTAGAGTATTGAAAATTGTTATGTGGGCTTTACTATTAAATATAAAAAAATATTTCAATTTATACCTGATATAAATTCGACATTTTTCGAGTTATAAATAAGAACTTCATTTTATTTTCATATTTTCCTCATATAAGCTAGCTATTCATAAGTATTTTCCGCTTAGTTTCCGGTTCTTTATGGGAATATAAGCTTACTCCTTTAGCTAGGCTATCTGTGAGTCGAGTTAGCTGGCTTCTTGCTACTCGCTTTTGTTTTTTGTGGTTCCGCTGCTAAATGCTGCTTCAATTAGCTAGACAAAAGGAGGCAAGCAGCTGCTGAAGGTTGTTTTTCTGAATTG